TAGGCCCACTGAATTGTTTAAATGCTTAAATAATTGAAAACATAAATTATGTGGATTAAATTCTCATATAATTTACAATGAAACTTTATAATGTACGGTATTTTATAAGATTATTTTTTTAAACAGATTGAAATAGGTAACATTTTATTGAAGAAAAAAAAACAGATTTTACATCTATAGCTGTAAGTTGATTTAATATGCTGAATCATTATTAATGGTATAGGCCTATAACTATTATATATTTCTATAAATTAATCAACAAATATCTCATTAATCACGCTATCGAAAATAGGCCTATTGAAGTATTATTGAAGTATTATTAATTCTTTATTAAAGCATTATTCGAGTACCTCAGGTTCATTATTATTATTATTATTATTATTATTATATTATTATTATTATAATTATTATTTTATGTATTATTTATCAACCATACTAACATTGAAAATATGAATTATGTGGATAAAATTATCATAGAAATTAAACTTATAATTTATAAGATTATTTTTTTTAAACAGCAGAATAAAATAGATAACACCTTTATTTAAAAAAAAAAACAGGTTTTGCACAGACGCAAGTTGATTTAATATATGCTGATTCATCTCATTAATTGAACAATTTTTATTCATTTCAAGCACAGCTGTTATTATTATTATATTATTATTATTATTACTACTACTATTTTATTTTAAATTATTGTTGTATTTTTTGTTATATGTATGGGCCTTGATATAGGCTATGCATATATTTAATAATTAGAAATAATTATAATTTAATTGTAAAACATATATAATATAATGTTAACAATATTATAGGCTAGGCTAAACCTAACCAATTATTGATACCATAGTCTATAGATAAAAACATCCATTTGATAATTAAACAGCAGCTTTTCGAGTGGCATTGAAGATAGAAAACTGCAGTGCTTTCGCACTGTGGCAGTGCCGATAGAAAACAGCAGCTTTTTGGCACTGCAGCAGTGCCGATAGAAAACAGCAGCTTTTTGGCACTGCAGCAGTGCCGATAGAAAACAGCAGCTTTTTTTCGCACTGCGGCAGTGCCGATAGCCTCAGCCGTAGACTACATATAGCAAATGCTTCTTTAAACAATAGTATAGACCAATTTTGCAAACTGTCAATAATAATTTATTACTTGCATTACAGGCTACATTATCATTTTCAAGTATACCTTGTAAACCTAAAACATATTGGAATGCCTCACAATTTTGTATATGATCATTTATAACACTATCAGACCGTAAAGTTATTAAGCATCTATCTGTCTTACCAATATAATCACTATTACAACCTGGACATGATAAACAACAGAGCTCCTATATTCCTTAGGGGTTTGATCTTTAGTAGATATATAATGAGAGACATTTTTTTACTGCCATAATGTTATGAATTTTACCTCTTTAATTAAGTGTTTCTTTACTTTGTTTAAGCATCTACGTAAGATGGATTCTCCTGCCTTTCCTAGATAAGGCAATCTAACCGAGATCTTAAGCTATCATCAGTAGGCCTATGTATACATTTAGGTTCATTTAATTTATTGAGTACATGGTTAACAACTTTTAAAGGGTACCCATTCCATGACATAAATTTTATAATGTTACAAAGTTCTGTTTGAAGTTTATCGGGAGTACACAATTTGTGGGCTCTTGAAACTAAACTACGAATCCAAGAAATCTTAATGGTTCCATGGGGCAAAGCTATCATATGGATATCCAGTTTGGCATCTTAATTTTTATATACAGTAGTTAAGTTACTTAAGTTTTTACATCACCAACCTATTAAATATATAAATTGAAGGTAAAATGAAAGACAATCGAATTATGCATTCTGGGTTAGTGTGGTTAATATCCTAAGGCTGAAGCCTTATTTACAAATTAAAGATTATTATTTAGGGCCCTAATGGCAGATATACCTTGTTCTGTTGGTACTCAGACTTCTGTAAAGTCGACCGCTTCTCATTGCTTAAAGCGGGATGGAAAATATTATCAGAAACAGACTTTCTAGTCTGTCCTTGTAGATTACCTCCAAAGGAGTTTGAGTGACACCAATAATGCGCAAAGCTGACATAACAATTCAGTGTAGGAGGGGATATAGTACGCAGCCATGAGGAACTCCTGTGTTAAGAACACAGGTTTCCTGACACCTGATTCGCCCTTGAAACCTATAACAATATACTGTACAGTATGCCTACATCATAACATGATTATTTCATCTGGCAATACCGTATTTACCTAGTTGCTATGATATATGAAACTGACAAACCTACTGTAGGTTAACCAAAACACAGATAAGTTTACTACACAACAATTGTTCTGTTTTCATACACTATCATCATATATGTGGGAAAGACAAGCCAAACCAGTCACTCGTCGCAAAAATCGATTTTGATTTTGAGTTATTAATACAGTGTAACACAGTAAAATAATAGCTATAAAATGGTAAACAAATCATTCAAATCGGACATTTCCTTATGAAGTTACAAGCGTTTAACCACACAGCAGTTTAAAGAACAATATATGAGAAATTAACCGTCAAAGTTTATGATTTCAGGCATTTCTCATGCATAAACTATCTTTAAATCCTTAAAAATTATTGTTTTAACATTGAAAATGGGGAAAATAACAGCATAGAATGATGTGTAGATATATAAAGGTTAGTTTAGTGTAATAAAATAGATTTTTAAAAATTTGACATTCCAGCATGTTTTGGCCATTTTCTCTGAAACACGATTTGCGACGAGTGTCAAGTGACTGGTTTGGCTTGTCTTTGCCACATAGAAACAAAACCAGTTGATATGAAATTCTGGAAGTATTACCGTATATCATATCTTCTCTTATTTCTTACTCTACAGTAGCAGTTTTTTTTTATCAACAGGAAATTATAGTATCATTAAGGCGGTTTTTTTTGTTCTTTTTTTGAGACATTAAATTAACTCTTTTTTAACAGGCAAGCTGGCCTGGCTTTGGCCATTTCTTGTGGTGATTGGTATTTCTGTAATTCTGGCCGCCATATATATAGTACTCCATTTTAAAGAGGGACACGATGAAGGTGATGAAGAAGAGGATGAAGATGATATGACAATGTAAATATTATGTTTTTTTTAATTTAATAAATTTCAATTTGTTCTAATTGTTATAATTTTTGTCAATTACTAATGATTACTACTAGTGTAACCTTGCTAAGGAATTGCACTTTAATTATTTATATATACACTCTTGAACTTCCTAAAGCAATGTCAAGTCACAAAACTAATGTGACAGGTGATGGCATCATGGTCAACCACTAAAATTCCAATCTAGAGCAAGGAGGGTTAGAATACACATTAACCTAGTCCAAGTATGACCACTCCACCTTGGTGGTTACCATGGTGACTAGTTTCCCTTAAAATAGAGAGCAAAGATAGATAGAGGGGAGAACATTGTTAGAATTAAATACTATACAAACTAAACTATACTTTGATTGGACATTCGTTGCTGTGCTTTACTGTGTGAAACATACTGGCACATAGACTATTGGGAACAAGAAACCGGCAAGGGGAAAGTCATCTAAAACCCCACGGTTACACTAGGTATTATTGCTATTGAAGTGTAGCCTATATTATTATCATTCTGTATTACAGGTATACTATTGTTAAAATATTGTATCATGCTGAATGCTCTTTGTAGAGCACTATATAAATGCTTTAATAAAAATTATTCTTTTTGTAGATACTATTCAATTGTTTTTATAATATAATCAATAATTATTTTTCTTATTGTTTTTATTATTTTATGATTATACATAGAAATGTACAGAATTATTTACATTAGAAACTTTTAATATATGGACACATATTAGACAATTATGTAAACACATTCACCTGATGAAGATCACTGTGTGGTCGAAAACTTATGTGTTTAGACAATTACTGTAACTTTGTTAAACTATTTTGTTGCAGCTTCTGTGCCTTATGTAAATAATAAAAACCATTTTAAAATGTCAGAAGGCAATGATTTTACTGCAAATCACCAATGTACTATTTTATTATTACTATCATTATTATTATTGTTTTTTCTGCTGCTGTTATTGTTAACGATTATTTCTTGTGATCACAGTTTAATAGATACTTCTTTAATTGTTTTCTACAGGCTGGCTGGAAAAACTAAGAAATCTGCTGATGCTGCTGAAGCCTAGATATACACAAGCAGTTCCTTCCCTCACCCGCAACTTTTTTTAACAGTTTGCCATACAGATTTATGTGCCATATTGATCACGATCCAATTTTTAAAAACATATTGTGTTGCTGGTATCCAGGATTTACGTTGCTTTGTATTAAATTTATAGGGAGACTGTTACCCTAAAGCAATCATACAATATACTGAACAAAGTATTGTACTTAAATTATGTGTATATTTTGCATTGGTTCAATGCCAATTATGAATATTTCATTACAATATATCCAAGATTGCCACACAGCACATGAAAATTGTAAGAATGCAATTTAAGATACGATACTGTAAGACAAAGTTACGTGTATCATTGGCGAATTAAAAAAAGACATGATCAAGAAATTGTAACAACCATGCATTGCCTACGACAGTGCATATCTGTTAATACCTAGCCTTTAGATATACTGCAGTTTCATTGTTTTTCCATTATTGCCACTTTTATAAATTTGTATTATTATTGTTATCAAATAGTTCAAGATATTTTCTTACTTTATATATAATGAACATTATGAAATTACATTATTGGTTCATCAGCCTTAACTAAGAGAAGTAAACTCTTGTAATTCCATGTCTAAAGTACTGTACGTAGCTTGTGTGGGCATTACCATGCCAATTATGTTAGGATGTATAGGTGAATGAATGATAATTACATGGGTTATTGGAACTGGTCATCTGTATATAATAGTTAGTGATTGATATGTAAATGTTGACACTGTTCGTCTGCACTAGTAGTTGCAAATGTTAGCTGGCTATTAAGGGATTACTGTGGTGCACACGTTGATATACACTACCATCACTTTTAAATGCAAAAGTAGTAGGGTTATTGAATTTTCAGAAACTTGCACAAGAAGGGCCTCCAATTACCACTTTATCCATTTCACTTTACACCCAGGAATATAAGTGGTTACCTAGCAGTTGTAGTTCCAGATATCTGCCAACTAGGAAGTCCAAAAATCCTAACAGCAGGTACAGCCCAAGGGGCCAACTGTCCCTCTGGCTATACCCCCTGGAGTAAAACCCCTGGTGGGGGAATCTTACTGTTAGAAACTGCATTCACAGTAACTTTGGTTTGATTGGCAAGTTAATATATTAGTCAGATGACCTCCAGTTGCATTGCCGTTGCCCTAGCCTTCCGCTCTCATCACCACCCACTATACCACCAACCCAATGCTGGTGGTTCCACTACCTGGTACATACTGTAGATGTAGGTTTGAATGCCAGTGAACAGATACTAGCTGCAGAGTTATGGAATATTCAAGGTTTGACCTAATCACCTTGTTATTAGTGTGAAGTGTAGGGTGCCCTTTGCTTTAGGCTATGTAAGATTGAGATGACAAAGTGGGTGTGCAAAATAACAGCCCAAAAAATAATTTAAATTGTATTTCATTAACCACAAATAATAGGCAAAATTGTTTAAAGGCTAAGCTTGAGAACTATATAAGGTCTTTGCTACCCTGATGCCTTACTCGTAAAATGCAGTATTATGTACGCCTCCCTGAAAGGGGACTATTTACAATTATGTGCTTAATATTTTGAGAAACATGTTTAATCATCAGAATTCAATAGGGAACTTTTGATTGCACTACGACTGCAGCATCTAGAAGGTAATGATGGCTCTAAGATATATTCTTGCCAAATCTATGTTGTGCAGAGAACATAGGATGGTCATTGATGAATCAAAAGCTCCCTAATGCAAGACCCTTGGATATCCATTTAGTTGCTGCACCAACTAAGTTTCTAAATTTCTTTGGGACAATGTTTTTCTCAATTCTAGTATGATTAGATGCCAGTTTGATGCTTTTACAAAGTTGACATTGTACATACAGTAAATAGAAGAAACTTGAGCTGTGAGTTGGTCCAGTTTTGTACGTGCATTATTGATATTTATAATATAGTATCAGTCTTTTATGAATTTTAGGCATTGTAGGTCATCAGATTGTTCCATACAATGTGCATCATTTTGTTTATGAATTAATTAGGTAAATATGACTTGTAGTTAAATATAAAAATAATAGTTAATATTTCACATTTTGTATTGTTTAATTTGTTATCCTCTGCATTCTACATCATATTATTTTTTTTATTATATTTTTAATAATATTCACTTATTAATTTTACAAGATTTTTTCTATAATTATATATATATTTTTTTCATAATTTGTATAATTAGGTTTTATTATTGCATTCTGAATAGGGTATATCTTATTTAATTGTGAACATATTCATATTCATATTCAGCTTTATGCTGAGATCCCTAACACAATGCTTTTTATAATATGGGTAACATTTTTACTTTTATTTTAAAATTTGTTAACCAGTAAATGTTTCATTGAAGTGGCTGTTTTGAATTCTGTATTATAAGCTATGATGCAGTAGTCTGCCTTTTTACATGTATCATTATAACAACATTATTTGTAAGCCTGCATATCAGCGAGGTGAGACTGACCACATGGTTGTACAGTTGCTGTACATGCTGCTTATTGTTGTTTACGTTTTATTTTGTTTGCATGTATGTTAATATGGCCTCCATGTCATGATCATGTGAATGCAAGACTGTCATTTTAACAAACTGTCGGATAGTCTGTTCAGATCAAGTACAAATTACTCGTAAATGTGCACACCTGATAAATTGACCTTTCACCTGTGCTTAATTTAATTACACATGCATTACTTCACATGATATATTACAGTAGTCTATATTGTTCAGTGTAAATGTAAAATACAGCATTTTATTTGTTTTGATGTGGTTTAGTGACAATCAAGAATCACCTATTTGGCATGTTTGTATAATGCACTTACCTTGTACCTTATCATTCTGTACATACCCACATGATTAAAAAACCTCTATGATACTAATTCAGAAAAATACCCTGTTGGTGGTTTCCTGGGGCAGCACCAAGATTTGCTGGATGGGGGACCTAATGTGACGAGAGCAAAGTGGGTTTTTTTTTTTTGTGGTGCAGGGTCCTGGGGNNNNGGGGCGGCGGCGGCGGAGCAAATCCCAAGAACATTTAGGAGTTTCAAAGGCTTATTTAATTGAGTTTAGAGTCTACGAATATGTAAAAAATACATGTAATATTTTTTTCTCTCCCACAAATTGTTTTTTCTCCCCGACGCGACCCTGTGCCCACCCACCACTGGCGCCACCCCGGTTGTTTTACTCTTATATGGGTCTTTTACTGTATTGTGCTTTTCTATGCTTGGTTTGGTATTATACTATCATGTCTCTTTCATAGTTTTGTGGTATTGTGGTATTTTAGGATATTTGATCAGATTAAATACAGTAGTTAAAATAATTACATACTTTTTAAATATTACAATTTTACTATATAAAATGGCATCAGTATAAAAATGATACTAAACTTCAGATATTGTATGAGTATGGTGACTCAACAAACAAACGTGAGACATTTCATTCTTTATTAGAACATTGCCAAGAATGATTATACTGTAGTCCATGATGGTGACAATACTTAACTACCAGAAATCAAAACAAAATAATCACATAGAATCAGTTATGGCCTCACGTTAGTCATTCTTCGGACTCGCCATACTCATAATCTATTTGCAAATAATCAGTGGATCCTTTGGTTTAAGATATTATAAAATGAATGTTATGGTAACCGGGGATGTCATGATACATGACAAACTCAAACAAACAAACAAAAAACAAACAAACTTCATAGTTGTTCATTCAGACACAGAAAAGAAGGGATTTTCGGATATGGATGCTTAGCCCTGTACTCTTGCTATGGTACAGTACATGTAAAGAATGTTAGACTTGCTGTATAGTGCATGTCAGACAATGCTATAAATGGTGTGGTTGAACAAGCACTTAAATTGTTGATTGAATAAAGTAGTTTCAGTTACTGCTGGCGGTAAGTCATAAACCCTTATTGAACGTATGATGTTAGGTGTATTTTCTGACATACAGGAGGAATATTATCGTCATTCCAGAAAAATAATATACAGTACACAAAAAAAAAAAAAAAAACTACAATGCAGTAGTTCAATATAACCCTTTGACTCATCAATGACGTCATACCAGTACTAACTACTCTGCTTGTTGTAATGCTATTTAATATGTAGCTTTTTTTTACAATTTCAGAACTCAATATATATTATGCAAGTTATATGTTAATTATTTTTAATCATTAAAACCTAATTCAAATTGTTGAAATGTAGGCTTGTCGAGTAATTATTTACAGAGTTGTTATCGTACAGTATGGTGTTATTTTATGCACAACAGCAATCACAGGGTGCTAACTTGCTTTCAGATATTACATTAAGTTAGCGCCCAATTAGATTCCGTTCTCAGACACTAGACCTCAACAATGAACCAAGACAACTTGATTGTAGTTTCTTTTATATGTTTAATTTAATATCATCAAACAATGTATACCACCACTCGTTTCCATTCATTAACGTGGTGTGGTTTCCACATAAACAACATGCAATATAAGGTGCGCAGATAATACGTCTACAAAATGACCATATTAAACATATTTTATATTTTAAGTTTATATTTGATAATAGCTGTGTCTACACGAACTTATATTTAAACAACGAGATATTAATACGCGAGTGTAACAAAGTATTAGGCTTATTTAGAGAAGTGCTCCAATTTCAAATCTCATTGAAACCGTCTTACTTTTGCAGTGCTGGTATCATATTGATAAATAATAAGAGTCGCAACACACGAATCGGCGCCAACACGCAGTTGCTCCTTCACCATGTATCGTAATAGTTCTGTCAGCACAACCATTGACCAACCATTCACTATCACAGCAGTTATGTTTTGCACTGAATAACAACCAAATCAACAGACAAACAAACAGCACAGTAACGCTGCAATTTAACATCAAAACATTGCATAGTGATATCATTAACATAGTCATCATTATCAACTTGTATCATAAAATGCATTCATCAACAATAACATCACTAAGTTTATCAATACACATATCAAAGCTTCACGATCATAATATTATCTGTTTTAACATTTGGACATTAAAAAAAAACCTTCCATGAAACATTGTTGCTTTGCATAGGCCTATATTTATGTCACCACCTAAATGACATTTGAAATATTTAACAACGCATTTCTTAAATGTACATATATCCATGACTTTTATTTTAACTAACATTATCATATATTCATATTTTACATTTGATATATTTTATAAACTCAGTGAAACAATAAACTCACGTTTACAGGCCCGTAGCCAGGGGGGGGTTTTTATGGTTCGGGCGAACCCCCCTTTTCTAGCGAACCCCCCCTGTTTTCTAGCGAACCCCCTCGAATTTTTGAATGAGTCCCACCCGTTTTTAAATTGTA